AAGTCCAAATACTTGAGATAAAAGTTTCCTATTTGGAAACACAAATTCAAAATATCCAAGATAGCCTTCGAGGCAAAAATATAGCCCCTGAGGTAGAAGTAATTTGTACCAAGTCTAGTATCCCTTCACAGGGACCAGTAAATACTAGCGCTCTCCCCGAGGATAAAGAGAAAGAGAAGAAGGTAATAGGAACCCCTTCACAGGGAATACTTCAACCTATTACTGGTAAAGAAGATATTTAAATTATCAAAAGCAAAGGTAGCTTTTCACAGAGCCAAACTAAATCTAAACTTTTTATTGAAAGAATAGACCCAAAAGATATTGTCAAAATATGCCATAACGCAAAATTTCCCAGAAAAGATAACCATGAAGAAATTATATTCTTTATTGTTATTTTTAATGTTCTATCAGATTGGTATATGAGATTGAAAAGTGGATGAAGACTCTCCACTATTCAAAATACAACAAGATAAACTTCTATCCAGGAGCACCAGCCAACTGGGTACGAAATTGAATTGAGATAGGAAATATAATCTGTATATATCCCAGCAAAAATCTCAAAGAAATAACCCAACTTCCAGCCAACGTCAAGAAGGCAGTTAAAAGATATACTGAAATTGTCAAGACAACAAACATATACGTCAGATTCCATTCAACAACTATGGAATGGGATCCCGTTCTTGAATATATGCATCTATCATTCCATGTTATCAAAATGGGACTTACAAACCAACATTTTTTACCAACCAGTCAAAAGGTTGTTAAAATGGATATCGAGATATTATAAATATGATGCCCTACAGAAGAACAAAAGGGTACAAAGAAATATTTGAGCACGTAACCCAGATAATTACTGAGAAAGAAAAAACATGGATTTATCCATCTGAAGACCATATAATCTACTCCAATACAAGAATGGCTACAAAAGAAAAAGACATATGTTATCTTGACCATCTATTGTCCTCAATTATCTCAAACCAAGTACATGGATCAGAAGATATGGCGAAAGAACTATGCAAACTACTCTGAAATTACAGTGACCACCATTGTAAATACTGTGTAGTGGAAGATATGAGTCAAGCATCTCTCAACAGTGAAGAATTTCCTGCAGAATTTTTTGATTTGAAGATGAAAAAGTGATAGCAATAAAAGTATCTCTTTATCACTACTTTAATAAAGAAATTTATTAAAGAAAAACTATGGCTACTAAAAGACAGAAGATAATGCAAGAAAGTCTCCATAATTGTGACCACTCACCTACCAATTATCAAAAGTGGAAGACAAATTCAAAGATAAGGCAAATAATTTCAAAATGAGAGGTCCACCTAACAAGAAGATAATAAAGAAATCGGTAGAGATAAGACTACTGAGCTACCCACCAAAAGAAAGGAGAAAACACTTGTCAAGATAAGATTCCCAAAAAACTCTATAAAAGGAAGAAAGAAGAGAAAGGAAGATATCTCGAAACAACTTATCTCTAAAACACTCTGAAAAAACACATCAAAAATTTTTGTAATCCGTATACACCATTTTATTCAGAAATATTAGATAGTCAGCAGATAGCAAAGCTTGTAATAAGATAATTACTAATGGAGTTCTAAACTTCATAAGGTGAGTACCAAAGGTATGTAAATATAGATTGTAAGCATATACTATTTCAGTTTATGAATATTAAAGTAAAGTTTGTTATGTTTAACAAAACTTTCATAAAATGATTTCGTTAAATTTCTCATGATTCCTCGGCAGTACAGATAAAATTTTTAAAAGATTTTCAAAATATTGATTTTGAATGGATGTTAGCCATGCCAAAGTACCCGTCTTTGATGAATGATTTAGGGGAAAAATGTAGTTTTCTAACAAAATCGTAGCATTTTGTGTGTGAGTTATCTTTTAAAATTTCGTTCCAAATAAGGACTTGATTCTGAATAGAGGTGAAAACAGAGACTCTGAATATTGTGAAATAACGTCTGTGGAAACACGGCTAATTCTCTAGAGTGAGAAATGCAACCTTAATTGAAAAGCCTTTTGCGAAAGCAGTTGTGGACCCAAATGATTTAAAAAAACATTTTGAATTTTTACTTGATTCAGAAGATTGATTAAGTACATGCAAAGCATCTATAAGATAATACTGGAGGGAAAGCCTATTTACTTCTATTCGATTACTGTAAGTTATTTACTTGCTTTTACATGCTTATGCTTTGATTAATTTTGATGAACACTTCACAAGCATCCACATCCACTATTAATAATGATAATAGATTATATTTAGATGAGAAAGATATTTCTTTTTTACTTAAATTAGCTGAAAAATCTGGAGACATATTTCCTGTTGGCCAAGAAAAATTTGAAGAAATATATAGAGATATAGATTATTATTGTAAGCATAATATAAGATTTGGTTCTGTAAGAACCAGTAGAGAAATAAAAAAGGTAGAAGATATTATAACTAAACATAAAGATATAGAGAAGAAGTTTCAGAAGGAATAATTCTATGATATATAATTAAGAAAGATCAGCCTAGAATCTTTGAAGAATTATCAAGATACAGAGAATATTTAGAGGTATTTAAAAAATTATAAAATACAAACATAAGTCCTGATTAAAAGAAATATTAAAAGATACAAGATACATCTTGCAAATAATAAAAGTAAGGGTAAAATAGTATTTTCTATTATAAAGGCCATTGTGGAAAATAGAGCAAATAATCCAGCCATTCTGAAGACTACCCCCCTTGCACATAGGCATAGCAACGCACACTCAATTCACAAAAACACGCACATAATCTTTCACATTTTGTAGACATGTTTGACTCGGCTAACACCTTATTTCTATTCAAATAATTCTTACAACTATTTTTTTTTTTTTTTCGCTCTTCAAAAAATTTTTACAACTTTTTTTTACAATTGGTATAATGTTCATAATACAACATTAAAAATCAAATTTCAGAGCATGCATTTTCAAGATTAAGTATTTTCAAACTTTTTATTGGAGATTTCAATTAATCAAGATTATCTTACAGGCTACAGCGTCTGATATGATTTGTTAGTATCAATTTTGGGCCACCCAAAACTTGCGATTCTTCATTTGAGATTTTTTCATAAAAAAAATTCCTTATGCCTGAATTGGCATCTGCACATTGGCCAGCCTCACGTGTTGTCATAATTGCGAGTATTCACTTCTTAAATTCTCCGAAAATGTGGGGACAATTGCCAAAAGAATTAGATCCTTGATTTCAATTCAGTCACGGTGTCCACTATTCAATTCGATCATTCCGTATAATTTGTTAAGTCAAAGACAATTTGTATATGGCAAAGTCTGTGAAATTGAAATGCACTTTCGTTATAGTTATCCCATTATCAACTAAACTGTCATTAAATAATACTAGTATACTTCTTCCCCAAGTCCCTAGCTGTAATGAATAATGTTATTTATCCCCAGTATAGGTTATCGCCTGTTTCGGTGATAATAGATCCTTTAATTCATTGTCTAGTGCATCATTAGACGATAAATCAAAAGGTCCATTATCACATAGATTGATGATGATCTCTTGTTTAGCAAGTTCTTGAGAATGAAATGAAAAAGGTAGACTTAATCGGCTTATAGAATCGCATACAACTATGTCAAACATCTACTAACTTGCCGCCAAACATATACATACAAAATTAAAAACATCTCCAATTCATTCCATGGATTATGTAGGTGACATGTAAATAGAAATGATTACGATATATGCTGTATCAAAGCCTAATTGATAGACACTTAGTGCTTGTTTGACACACATTACTTTATTTCATGGCTTGTTACATAATCAATTTTTACCACAGTTTCACACAATAAAATATTCTGTAAGTATATAAAAAAAACTTTCTCTACTTCTTAATCACACATTTCCCTAAAAATTACCATTCAAAACTCTTTTTTTTCTTACAATAATGGCTGTCAAATAGGCTATTAAGTTCAAATTCATCTCTAATGAATTCCATCCACAATTGAAATTTCATTTCTAGTGAAACAATAAAAAACAAGGGATAGAAAAAAATATCTAATTTCGCTTACCCAATTCGTTTAAAAAAACCTATACATCTAAATAGACAGAAATAATGTCTATTTTTTTCTTGTTATGTCAACTAGACATATAGTTCCATACATGTTACATTGAAGATTTTTAAACATTCTGTTCTAACTGGTATAACAACTTTTGTAATACAATCCACATCAGCACGGGAGTTTATGCATATTTGCATTGGAGTTTATATGACAAATTATTCAATATATTATGATCATTGATAAAAAGAATAAACAGCATGTTCAATAATGTATCATTTGACAATTCCAATAATTTTTCAATGCATTCCTATCCCGGTCTTGTGATTTCAATTCATTACTAGCAAGCTAGCTAGGAATGAAAAATTCTATATATATATATTCATAAGGGACTTGATTCTGATGAATTTATAAGTAATTAAGCCGTAAATAAACTATAACAACCCAACCTCTGTGCTTGAACCATTAATTTACGTATTATTCGCTATGGAAAAGCATGAGCCCATTTTACCCCTTACGGTTTTCTGTTGTGTTATCAAAATTCAAACACATGACCTCCTCTTAAAGGAAATATCAACTTGCCCAATTGGTACCCGAACAACTTGTCCAATTAATACCGCGATTCAACTCAAGTCTCTACCAAGGAAAATATCATAGGTTCGAATCCTGGAGACGGACAGAAATCCATGAGAAATAAGATGAGCTCAAGCTCTCCCAGGGAGGACAGTACATAAAGTAATAGTTGGGCACGAGGCTGGGTCGTTGCATAAACGAAATCTAATAACCTAATTGAGATAAAATCACAAGTTCACCAAAATGAGTCATTTTCCTTCTTCCATTTACATTATACATTTTATCCTCTGTTACAGAACTGTCAAATTTAACCAGATATTTCTCATTAAATCCTTGCCATAGAGAGTTATTTAGGTGATGATATAATTCTACACTAATCCATGTGAATAGGTATATGCATGCACATTATACAGGGTAATCCAAAAGTAACAATATCAATACAGTAACATTTCGAAATGAACATTTTGTTTAGGTAAACTGTTGCACAGGAAAACGTGCTGATAGCTAATAGCTACATGTAGTGCTATTTGGCTCGAAATAACGAAAGAAGTTCACTAAATTAACTTTCCTGGGCATCAACACATCTTCCCCCTCCAAAAGAGACAAATATATGATGTCCACTAAGAACAAGAACAGCACACAGGTCATTACTATGGACTGCAAATGTTTGAAAAGCTCCAGAATGAAAATTTCACCTAGGAAAAAACACCATACCAGAGGTTCGTCGTTGTAAAGCAATAGAGCCTCAGTATGATTAAGTTTTCAGAACCAAATCAATTCTGTGACAACAAAATAATATAAATAAGAAACAAAATGGAGAACAAGATTAAAAAGATTAACAAGTAAAAACTAAGTCTAAGAATTTCCACCTACTGCATTTGCTTGGATTCATTTCTTTGGAAGATGGGGTTGAATTGATTCCACAACTACCTGCATCACACAGAAATAATAACGTTGTTATAAACTACGTTTAAATAACTAACAGAAATTGTGGAGAAATGGTGAAACAATCAATGCTCAACAGATCTAACTTTATTTATGATCCTTTGGTTATCATATCAAATGATGAAAAGATTTATAATTCTAGCTGTAACATGCATCAGAAATTGGGACCGACCAACTTGATACAAAAGATGTGTGTTTATGTAATGGTAGATGAAAAAAATTAGCCACAGATTAAAAAACCAACTCTCATTTCCGGAAACCATAAACTTGGATATGTTACTCTGCTTTTTATACTCTCCCACAACCAGTAAATTCCTTTCAATATGGGAAAACATTACACCTAGCACGTATAACACAGTATCGAAATTCCAAATGACAAAAATCTTCTGCCATTATTGAAAGAATTTATGCTTTGAAAAATCAGCCATGGAAACAGCAACAGCATCTGATACTCATGATCTAAAACGATGCAAGTTTCCCATTTGAAATATTATGGAAGTACAAGAATACAACAACAAACTAAACCTTGTTTCCACTAATTTCAGGTTGGTTAAGAGAATCCTTTATTGCCAATCCATTCGATTTATTGCCAGATCTACCATTATGGAAATACAAGAATCTACTACTAAATATATTTTCTAAAAGTAAAGTGTAGTTTTACCCTCCCATCATAAGACAATGATGCAAATATCCAGGGTTCTCGAAAACTCCAAGCAAGGTCTGCAGCCAAGTGAAGATAGTTAAGTTGAGTTGAGCGCTAAATTTGAATGGAGTTTCAGATTTGCAAAAATTACCATAAACACTGTCTTCATAATCAGTGTACGAATGAAGCAGCGGATCTACCCTCCTTGTAGGTGATTCCACCAGGCTGCCAAAACACGAAATAAGGATGATTATATAGAAAAGTCAAATAATGGAATTGAAGTTGGACTTGTAAAGATAATACGGACCTGTCCGAAGTAGAATCATCACTGCTTGAAGGAACCGACCATAAATTGACAGCTGAGTCAGTTCCAGCACTCTACAACAATTTGTTACTGTTAGCAAAGAACCAATGACTAGAAAATAACATCATGCCCTTTCTAAGAAGCGCATATTTAAAAGAAAATTGCTCTAGGAAAAAGATGTCATGAGTTTAATCTGCCATGTGCCCCACACACACCCACAGAGAGAGAGAGAGAGAGAGAGAACCAGAATCAAGCCTTCATACTCCGGATTACATTTAACTGTCCATGTCCTGTGAACAATAACAATATATTTGACTTATCAAATGGTCATTATTAATGGATGAATGATTAAAAGATCCACTCAAAACTACCATCGTAACATACAAACATGAAAAACACAAGAGTATTGATTCTTTTCTTAGGGACTAGCCTTACAAGCTTCATTATGCTTTATGAGGATATAGGACTTAATTTTACATACAAAGGAACGGAAAATGTAAAGGAAAAAAGAAATGAATATAACAGAATTACCATTCGAAGACATCAGACATGAATGCATACACAAAATAAAACTAGGGATGTATCATTATTTACAAATATACCAATGTGAGTGTCCAGGTAGCTCAGAGACTGGAAACTTCGGCTTTCTGAGATCCCATATATGTATCCCAGACTCATCTTCAGCAGTTACCTGAGAAATGTCAACTAAGATCATCTTTTAAAGAGAGGGATAGAGAAAGGATTGAAGCTCTAAAAATAAAACTTTCTTCTGCAACAAAAGAAGACTTCCATCTCTCCTTTCTCTGATTGCAATTAATGAAAGAAAATTTACAGAAACGTTAAGAAAGATCAAGCGTGAGAGACCAAGAAAATATTAAGCCCCTGACTGGTGGGAATTAAAATCAAATCTTTAGTAGATTTTGATAAAAGTAGATTAAATGTGTGGTTGAAAAGTTATGGGTCCCCTAAAATGTGTAGTTAAAATTAATTGTTGAATTAGACTTAGAATAAAATCTGTATCAAACAGGGACTAAGTTTTATTTCCTTTTCAAGAGGAGAATTTGGATGAGTACAAAAGTTGGTTCCCTCATTGTTGTCATTGTTATGTTGATTATAATAGTAATTAATGGCCAAAAATTGCCAAAACACAATACAAAGATGGCCCTTAGCAGGTTGATCAAGATTCAAGCAGCAAACAATTTCACCCAGGGCCATGTTCTACTCCTCCTAGGGGCTAGTTACCCTTTTTTAGTTTGTTTGTTCAATGCAAAAAGTTATTTTTATACGGATATAATTTGAATAGCGCATTTTTTACCATTCTTCAAGCATCTTTGTTATTTTATATTTAGGTCAGTTCTCGAAGAAGTTGGATAATTCAGGAGATACTCCCTCTGTTCCATGAAAATATGCTTGCTTTCCTTTTTTGTTTATCCCAAATTATAGGCACTTTCCTTGTTAATAATATAGTTGATTTCTTAATTTTCTAATGTACCCCTATTTAATGTGTCTTGTTATCAATATATATGAACTACTCCTATTTAAACCATTATTAATGTTGCAGAGGTATATTAAGAAAAATATAAGTAAAAATTTTAAAATTATATTTCCAACTATATTACTTATATTTTATTGATCTGTGTGAAAATGAAAAAAGCCTATCTTTAAATTACGAATGGAGTATATTATAGTATTTCATTATCGTCAGCATCAATTTTACATCAAGATAATGTGATTGAGAGGTCGAAGATAAAATACATGAATTGGAACTAAATCAAAAAGGTTGTTTGAACAAAAAGATACTAGAAATTGAAGTAAAGCATGTAATTGATCTGGCAAAACTCTCTCCGAAAGTGGCTCATTAGCAAGAAGCAAAGATTGAGAACCTAGCCTGCCAGCCTCATATGTAACATATCCCATTTAAAAAGGTGTGTGCATGCACAGAGTCCATAAGCCACCCATCCATCAACGTGGTGTGCAATTATAAGCATTCCGTGTAGATGCATGAAAGTAACATCCTCACAACTGTCAGAATTGCAAATTGTTCTGTCAATGAGATGCTTGAATGAATTCACAACTGGATACTTACAAGCATATATTTCTTTTTAGTGTCGTAGTCCACAGTACGGACGTGAGCATGCTGAATTGAATTAGTCGTCCTGAAAACAAATGATCCTTAATATTTATAGTTAAAATTTAAAATCATTATTCTTAATTATAAAACTTGAAACAAATAAAAATAAACTCATCATCAGATTAATATGGACTGGACCTGCTTTACAGGTAATCAAAGCTTGCAAGCATCAATTGACTGAAACGTGATGAACTTAGATGAATAGACGGTAATCAAAATTGTAAGTTCTAGAGATGTTAATACAAACGTTGAGCAGAAGCACCATTAACAATAACATGGCATAATGTCACAACATCAACCTAATATGGTGGCAAATCAAAAGTGTGAAATGATAACTGTCAAACAATATTGACATCTTACTGTCAATTAAATGGCATATATAAAATGCGGAAAGACAAAACAAGTTGCACCAATTTACAATTTGCTCGGCTGACCATCAAGACAAAAAAGGTTAACATGTTTATTAGTCAAAACTAGGCAGAGAATTGAATTTGACATTAACATACTTCATTGTTCGCAGATCCCAAAGTTGAACTGATGAGTCACAAGTTAAGGCAACAGCATTAACATCATGCGCATCCCATGCTCCACCAGATAAATAATGGAGCATACCTGCGGATTCTTGTGATTGTACCTAGATTTTGCAGCAAGACCTGAATAAGAATTAGCCCAGGCAACCAAAAGAAACGAGGCCAGTATTACAATCTTAAGGTCCCTTTCCCAGTAATTAATTATAATTCTATCTCATGTTGAACATGTGAATGCTAAGATGGGAAAAACTATAAATCAAGATAAAACAACCAACACATTTCCAATAAATGAGGACAAAAACATGAATGATCAATGTTAAATATATCCACTATCTTATTCTGCAATAAATACAAATCAAGGAAATCACTCAAAGAAATTAGGGCAGTGAATTATACTCTCCATGTTGTGACTATAAAGTCATGTGGCCAACACACAACTCAATAAATTATTTTATGAGCCATACCTGGGCAGTCTTCTTTGAAGTATCTATGCTCCACAGAAAGAGATTTTGTTCATCAATACTAACTAACTTGTCATGCCTTCCAGTAGGCCACCATAAAACACTACAAAGAGCATGGCATTCAATACCATTCAGTACTCACTAAACTAAAATTATCTAAATTAAAATGAATTCAGACAATCAATATGAGCTTAAAGCAAAGATGAATTCCTTGAAACCAGCATGAATTAAGAGCATGCTAATATTGAAAAACTAATTTTGTTTCACTTAGTCTTTGGGCCTTACTGCGTCACTATTGAAGGAAAGAACAACAAAATACCTCTTCATTTCTTTGAACTTTGTCCTTTTTTTAGCTTTTACCACAAATCAAAGTGATATTTGAGATAGAAGCAGTAATGTAATTGAAGTCAAAATTTATGCTTTCTGTAACAAAACAGCCCAGTAAGGACAAACTTTTCTCAGCCACTAGAAAAGAGGACAATAATTACCCAGAAAACTAGTAGCAGTTAACTTTTAAAGACGGTAAGATACATGAATAGCATGCTCTTAAAAATTAAATTGGTTAGATACCATGTAATGATTGGGATTGGTGGTAAAGGAGTTCAACCAATCCATCTGAGATATCTAAAATTAAAATATACGGACTGAGATTCACTGGTTCCAATTCTATAAACATAAGTATCACTCCAGTTAAACCCACTAGAAGAGTTGACGGAATCAGAACCACATTATAAATTAGCAAAAATGATAAGCTTTGAGCAAAAATGCATTCCAGTTTCTTTTTATCTTCAGCACAAAATTATCAATAATTGCATTTTACAATTGTGTCTTTCTTCAGCTTCAAGCTCACAGTTTAGCCATGAAACAATAAACTCACCATTTAATTTTAGAACTGTGAGCATCCAGAGAAGCAATTCTTTCAAGTTGTGGGGAATTCTGCTGGCCATATAACTCGGGGATTTGCCATATTGCTGCTCCATATGATTCGCCTTCGAAACATAAAACACCATTTTATCAAACTTTAGAAACTCTGAGATAAACAAATGCGAAAGTCCATATAAGCCAGCAAAATAAAATAAAATAATAAAATAAAAATTAGAAAAATAAAAAACGACCAACTTACCCGAAGAGAAGACGGTGGAGAATATGCGTTGATCAAAAGGACAAGAAGCGAGGTCCCAAATTTCATTCGGATGCGAAAACAAACCTTCGCAGATCAATTCATTACCCCCCGACGAAAGCCTTATTAAATGCACCTGAAATTAAAAAACCACGATTGATCCAATAAACACTGCCATCAATATTAAGTCAAGAGGGAAAACTTAAACGACCTCGTTTTCTTCCTTGAGACTGAGAGTACCAGTGAGGAAACTGGTGTGATCCGTATCTGCTTTCACATCGGAAATGCATCTAGCCTAGAATCAATAACTTCAGTTCAGAATTTCTTCCTACCAAAATAAGGGGTATATGCATTAACTCAGGAAACATTCTTAGAGAGGGTTTGATATTGACCTGATATTTGAGACCATAGCCGACTCCGGTTGATCCACCTTGCATTGTACTGAGACGGCCGTAAAATGTGTGATCGGGATGTAGTGGAATTGGTCCTTTGACTTGAGGTCGTCATGATACCTTATATGAGGACAGTCATACTTTGGCGGTGTTGGATGTTGCTCTGAAAGGGGCCGCTAATACGACATCGTTCGGGTACGTCAAGAATCGTATGAAGGTTGTGATTGATCAATAAATGATTCGTCACTCTTAGATAGCAGGAGATTATGATCTGCGTTTCATTCAATTAAGTCGATGATGAAATCCTTGGCCAAGGTGTACTCATAAGTCGAAAAGGAGTTTTCGATTTATATTGACTTAATAGTGGAATGAAAGATATGATCGATGATCGAGATTGACACAATTCCATATCTCGTAATTGATCGGATCGTATTGACGAATGGATAATAGTTCCACGGTAAACGAATGAATTTGGTTTTGTCATACCACGTGACATTTCCCGTCACATGTATTGCCCTGACACATTGCTAGATGTCAATCAGGGACGGCGAATGTGAATTGACGATAAATTAAAAGGGTGTATTAATTTATCAATTTTGATTAGATCAAAATAATATTTCACGACGTTCGGCATCGTGGTCGGGAACCTAATGGGTCGCACACAAAAGAGAATTGGAAAACTGCAAATTGTCAATTGATTAATTTAACAATCGTTGCATAAATTAATTAATTGAATTTGTTATTTATAATCCCGAATTAATTAATTTGATTAATTAATTCACGGACCGGGTTTGATTAATTGGATTAATTAAATATTGGACCGGACCGGGCAGGGTCCGTTTGGGTTTATATATATATGCAGCTAGGGTTTGAGGTCCAAAAATTATTCATTATTCTTGCTAGCACAAGAAAGAAACCCTAGCAGTTGCTGTCTACTCTCTGTGTGGATTTTATTGGAGGCTGGACAATTGGACAGTTGTGGGAGGCAGATTCAAGCTACTGGAAAGGAATAACGCGAAGGAGTTTGCAAATCACAAGTAAAGGTATATTTCTCATTACATTTTTTTATCTAAATACAAAGCTGAATCCTGATTGGGAATTGAAATTTGTTAAATTCCGCTGTGCATGTTTAAGTAAATTCCCAACAATGATAAGGCTCAGACAAGGGCTTAATGATAAGTTTCATTATATTTTTGACTAAAATTACACCGTTTGTCCTTAAAACTAAAGTTAATTAGCCTCTCTTTGAGCCACATTCTTTCAAAAATATATTCTTAAACAATTTTTTGACATTATTTCAATCATACATTTTTCAATAAAATAATATTACACGTAAATCCAAATTATTTTCTTATTTTTTAACCACACATTTCCTATTAACACACTATTCAAAAATTTATTCTTATAAAAAGAATGGGGGCTCAAACAAGGGCTTAATGTTAAACCTTTGAGCAATATGTTAGTAAAGCACTTGCCGAATAATGGTAAATGTATACTTCATGGTTGACATCTTTGTATACATTACATTGGAGTTAAAAAGTGTTGGACGAGAAAGTGTGTTTTTTTAATTTGTCCAAACATGTGTCGCCACGTGGTACAATGTAAAAGAAGAATACACATATACTTGTTTGACCCTCTTCTTCTTCTTCTTTTAAAAAAAATTCATTTTTATTTACACATTCTTTCGTAAAATAATTCTACAAGTAAACTAAAAAAATTTCTCACCTTTTTAACCACACGTTCTCTAAAAAACAATATTCCAAGGACAAAAACACATTTCCCTCAAAAAATGGGTCTCAAGGACTTAACATAGACATAATCAAAATTTTCATATAAAAAATTGTAGTGTTAATATGGGGATGACAAAAATACCCTTCAAACTTGATACCCGTGGGCTCCTTCCCAAACGTGATTGGGATGACCTGCTTAATCTAGTCAAGTATGGGTGGGGCACAAGTAGCAGGGACCTCACTCTTTTTTTTTTTTTTAATTTAATACTTTAAATGAAAAAATTCCCTGAAATTTCATTAATTTTAATAAATGATGACAACTAAAATTATCTAAGAAATATGATAAATAATAAAAACCTTAGTTTACCAAATATATTCGAATAATTAAATTTTTAGAAATTAATTAATTAATTAAAAAATTTAAACAGGGCAAGGCGTAACAGGACGGGGGTAAGGGAGCCCGCACCGTCTCGAACCCACCTTGTTGCCAACCCTATGTTCATTATGTGGCAGTTGAACTGATGAACTATGTTAGTCACTAAAATGCAAATTATATCGCAATTGATTTCACCAAGCCAATGATCGTATTGAATTATCGAGAAGATAACAATGAAATTATTTTCAGGTGGCACTCACTTTCATCTATACAAATCCCGACAGTCTGAAGTTAAAATAAAAGCTTAATAACCCAATTGAGTTTCTGCTGAAAGTTAATTTACGTTGTTTATGTTTAGTTTTCTTCTCTCTTTCTACTTGTTTTTCCTGATGTACACACAAAATTTTACGAGTCAAATTTCAAAGATTTAATTTTTAGATATTAGATACGATGAAACACTACTACAGACGAATAAGAAAAAAGATAAAAAAATTTATAAATTATATTATCAAGTCAACTGATACTATGGTCCTGTAACAAAGAGATAATAATGAAAACATTTCAATCCTTGATTGATTATGAGTTCCAAATAAAATAATTTACAAAGTCATTCAAAAAAACCTCTGTTTGATTCTACATATAAAGGTTCTCTACCCTCTAACAAGAAACATCCCCTTCTGTAAATAGACCCTTAATAAAGAAAACTATCTGACTACTAAGTCGTCAAACTGGCCACAAGAGTTTCCAATACAATATCATGACTATGCTTTTTTAGCAACAACCTCAGTTACAAAATTCATCTTCATCAAGATTGCCTTTTCGAATTGAGCCCAGTGTTTCAATCTCCTGGAAGCTCCAAATACTGGAAATTGAAGAAAAAAAGCAACTTCTAGCAGATATTGCATGTTTGGCTTGCTTAAAAGTCACTTTTCAGGTTAGGTAAAATAACTTAGAAGTAAGTTTGTCTTGCTTTTAAGCATAGCCAAAATTGGGTAAAATCTCTATACATGCGAAGCATTTTCATTCAATCTGAAAGCAATTCATCCAACTCGGTATCCTCTGTCATTAAAGCATCATAGTCCAAACTTGTTTGATTATACGGAACTTTAACTTGCTCATTACTTGGATCTTCATAGTCTTCAGGATCAGACCATTCAAGGTCATCGTCCATATTTTGATCTTCAGATGCTACATCCGTGTCTTTCTTTGTGGTGATAGATCCTTTTCCGCGCTTTAACGGACCCAAATCCATCTTTGCTTTGGCCTCGGAATCTTCACAGATGCAGGAAGATGGATTTTCGTGAAACTCGCCCCTGCCTGGTCTCACTTCTTTTGGCTCTCCCATGAAACCTCTCTGAAACGTACGAACCTTGGAGGCAAATTCTCCCCATGTCATGTTCTCTCGGTTTAAAAACAGCCGATACAACTTCTTGGCATTAGGACGGATAGTAGGTTTGTGTCCAAAATATCTCCTGTAATCGAGAGGAATGGATTCATTAGTGGGAACTTAAGACAAGTTCCACTAGATGTTTTGTGTTTATATAAATAAAAGCATACCTCCGCCCTGCTAATATTTTTGCCATATTACCATTGTTATTGGTAACAAAGACATCACTTTCATCACACACTATAAAATCTAGTGCAGCCATACGAGAGGAAAATGCAGAAAAAGGTTCCAACTCTTGCTTGCTGGATATAGTGTCTTTTGAATAGAAGTTGGGGAAAAGAGCCTTTAATGGGGCTAACGTTTCTTCCCCTCCATATACTTCTCCAGACGCTACATAAATATGAGTATCTTTGCCATAACCAAGTGCTCTCAGCATAAGACCTACCTCCTCAGGTGTAAGAGGGCATCTTCCCTGCCTCTTCCCCTTATCTGGATTACTGATCTGCAAATTAATCAACAATAGATCATAGGTATGCTTCATATTTCCTGTTAAAATCAAATGTCAAAGAGGAATTGAAATTACACATAATAAAGACAAAATCTGGTTCTCTGTGAATTAGAAGCAGGCTTCATGTTGGTTCCAATTACTTTGACTACATATATATGGTCATCTTCTTGGTAGCAGCAACAATTTACATGAACACCTTAAAAATCTTCCCATAAATGAATGTCTTAAACTGCATTAAAATTCATGACAGCCAAGTCCCATATAACATCCAGAATTGGAATACTGAACCCAAGAATTGTTTAGGACATCCAACCCCCCCCCCCCTTTTCCTTTTTTTTTCAACCCCTAATTTTTAAAAAAAAAAAAAAAAAAAAAAAAACTATTCTACCCATTTTCATTTGTACAAAATGGGGGCTAAATATCATTCTTACTATTTAGGATTTTAACATATCAAACTAAAACTAAAATGTTAAGGCTTACATGTAATGTTTTCCACCTCCTCCGAATTTTACCAAGTTCCCTCCTCTCCTTGTCTCCTCCACCATAATAACATCCTGAGAATGCAAGCATATCAGGTTCAAACCTGTAAAGAACAAGCATTCTAACATGAGATTCTCTCTCCTCTTGATAGCAAGAACAAAATCATAAAATGCAATAAAAAGAATGTTTAAATGAATTCCATCTAACCACAGATTGCCTAACAGCAATACTATTATGAACCAAAAGAATTATAAAGTTGACAAAGACCAAGAGATCAAGAATTCCAGACTAAAGATCATATCAATTCAAGTCACATTTCACCAAAATTGCAATTAAGACCTTGTAAACTAGCAGCTTGCAAATGTGAACAGACAAATTGCGAACAGCAGTGCTGTAAGACAAGTTCAATAAAAGAATCCCTATAAAATCATATCAATTTGTTACATGGACGCTGTCTTGGTTATGGATATGAAAAAGAAGCCGATGGCAGAACTAGAAATCAGAAAAATATAGCATTTCAGTACCTTAGATGAAGGGCAATATAATGCTTAGTATTCATCCTCATTCGCTGAACTAACTTTGCACCCAGTTCAAGAATGGGGTCTGTGAACTTCAGTGCATGGTAGTTGACTCTGCACCTAAGCTTCTGTAATTCCATCTCCAGTTTATTTGCAAGTCTGTAGTCAAATTTGGTCAACATGACAGCCTGTCACAAGAATGGCATCTATTAGGTGCTGGCTTTGAACAAAAATAATGTGGAGCAAGGCAAAAGTAGAAGCAACAGATACAGCAGAGAAATTCAACAAATTATTATACTCAGAACTAGGTTTCAGATGCAAATTACTTGCTCAAATGTAATAAAACTAGGCATAATTTCTCCCTCTGTCCACCAATAAGATACTGGTAGAACCAAGGATACGGTATAAATAGGTTCATATTTATCTAGAAACAAATTTAAACCTTGTTAATATTACTAAATGGCCATATAACGTTGAATAGTACAATCAACTTCAAATGGTAAAATAAAACAATTCAGCCAAATTAACGAGAACAACACCCTAGCAATTGAACCTAAATTTGAAAAGGAGAACAACAGTACTAGGAGGCCTGATGTGTACAATTTACTTGCATCCCTATAAGACAGCACGGGTCAAATTAAGCTGGTTCAACATCTTTATTTGTTTTCTTTTTGGGATATAACACCAATATTACCATCTGAATGGAAGATTATCTATCATTTATTAGAAGGACCTAACATGCTGAATATATCATTAGAATATTCAATATTTTCCAGCTTTAGATGCACCTAGATTTATATTATTTTTCTCACCAACTGAGAAGTAGCACACAATGGTCTAAGAATCCTCAACTTAGATGTCCAGTAGATAAAAATACAACTGTTAAAAGCTGGATGCCTATATATGTCATGGAGTCACACAATCATGATGAGACATGGTGTCCATTACCTCACCAGATTTTTCTTTTCACAATTACAGATAGCATGTTTGTAACTCAAATGCATATATGAGAAAAGTTTAACTGATTGCAATCGATCAACTTACACGTTTCTTCAAAAGTACAGGTAATACACGATTGGTGTAACATTTATCATTGCACTTTCTGGGAACCCTCATGGTATATGGAGTCCATACACGTCCTCTTCTATGTGGGAGCACTTTTATGATTTCAACATCTTTTGCAAGATATGATATAAACCAATCAACATTAAAGATCTCCGAAAAATTGCTGCAAAGAAAGCAATGTCAAATACAGACGAAAAGCATTCATAGTAAAAGCTTGGTTAAATGCATTTCTCAAGACTTCACCTATTATCCTTCCAGAAAGACTTCTTGTCTAGTATTGGAACAATAAGGGTAGCATTCAAGATGCGAGCAGCAACAACAGCATCAGTTATCTGCCATACAGTGTACAGATTTAAAGTCTAGCGTCTAACTTTGAGCTCCAGAGTATATTTATGTATTTATCTAGATGGACAATTCAACTATTCACTTAATAAACAGAATACACGGAGAAAGCAAATTTACCAGATCTCATGGCATTAGGTTCAAGAAGACCATAAAAACCCCATTGCAAGACAGACACAAACAATGCGAACACGGAAAAAAGAGTGAAAAATGCCACAAACTTAACAAAGTGTCTGCCTTCCAGGAAACTATTTAACAATAATATTAACCATCGTCTTCACCAGCTATTAGCAAAATGGTATTGCTTAGTGCCACCAAATTAGGTTCAATATTAGTGCATAAATGAAATAATCTCATCATCTGTTTTTTATAGATTAACTGCCATTTGATTGTTAAATTTTTCCTTCACAATACATAATTGATGTAGCTTCCAAGAGCAAAATGGGTCTGGCAGTGGCTTGTTAAACACTAATCAAGTCCTTGAGTTCTGCAAGCATACTAGTTGAAATCACCAAAAATTCTTAAGCTTCTAACGAACCGCCGTGAAGCATGAGGATGGAGTAAATAAAAGAAAATTTTCCATCAAATATGTTACTATAGAGTTACTGAATATTGAGCAAATCCTTCGTAAGCAACCAAGAAAACAAACTCTTTAAGCAATACCCCGGTTCTTTGTTGATTTAGACCTCCACTGGTTGCAATCGCCAAGTAACGATTCGGACGTGTGACATCTTCAGCCTCTGTAGTTGAAAAGCAATATTTAACCCATAGTTGTTGAAATAATATAAGTTCTAGAATGAAAACATAATGGAATCCCAATACTCAAAAAAATATTTACATCAACAAACAAAACCATGAACAACAACATAGAAATGTGATCCAAAAATTAATATGTGAACGTAAAGAGGAAGAATACATGTTAAAAACGCTTACGCACTTGCAAATTTGCTGCTGGCATTACTGCATCCATAGTAGAACTGAGCATTCTTTGACGTCCAAATATCACGATCATATACTCCGCCACTCGTCTAGATCTCAATACCCAAGAAGTAACACAATGAGAAATACAGAAATCAGATCCAATCAGCGAAATGTTCCACAGTCCAACTTCAAATAAAAATAAAAAAACTTTCAGATAAAACCCTAACCGGAACACGAAAGACCGGCACCCCATTGCCAACACCAACACCATCACCATCACCATCATTCATCTGAAACAAACAAATAGCAAAACCCACAAATGTGAGTAAAATATTTTCACACAACATCAAAGCATCATTTAATGCCACAAACAAATCAACACATACTGAGGAATAGTGTCGACGGTGGTGGAAGTGATCAATGTCAGTAGGAGAGGGGACGAGAAACGAAAAGCAAAAAAACAGCAGAACTAGAACGGCAGAAACTGCTGAAATGGCTGGTATTAAAAATCGAGCGCGCTTGTGAGGCTGGTGACGCCGCCGCGGCAAAGCCATGTAAGAACGGCGGCAGGCGGCGGAGCAAATAGCTGATTGATTCGATTTCCTTTAGCAGATTACAATTTTGCAATGGAGGGAACAATACTTTCGATTATTACTCCAAGTTGGAGAGAATATTTTGGAGTTTTACATTTGGATTATTTGCAGTAACGACAAGGATTCCCTTGCTGCTGATTCAACGAGTAGTAGAACAGACGTGGGTTAATCATCAACAGTAATATTTCAATAAATAGAAAAATTATATTGAATTCACCGCCTGAGACTGAAGATCAAATGAATAAAAAATAGTAAATTTAAAATTTAAAAAAAGAAAAGAAAAAAAAAAGTCAAGTTTTTGTTGATCATATTGTCAAGTATCTTCCAATGTGCCAAACAGCTAAACATTTCTTTATATGACACTTGAAAATTGAAATTATTTTTGGACATTATTGATAAACACTCAATTGTGGGAAGTTCATTAAAAAAAAAAAACTTATTTTTTAAAAATGAACCATTAAAATCCATTCTAATTCACCTGCCAAATTAACCTTATTTTTACATGTAATTAGATTATTAGAATTTTCACTTTCAATTTTCTTGGGCAAACTAAGTAGTCCAATCTAATTGTTATATTATTAGAACTCTTGAAACGCTATGTTTTCATATGTAATATAATGGGTCGAGACCTTGGTAACCGATGATCATTACTACAATAATATAATACCGAAGCAGAATAATTCTCTTTAACTAATCTCACAATTTTTGCTTTTTGAAAAAGGGAAAACTTATATAAAGAGTATATTTGAAAAATATTTATAAATGAATAGACATAAATGATGAAAGCAGTACCCGTAGTCCTAAAAAATATGTAGATAAAAACTTATTTTATCCAAATTACTTATAAATAATAGCACTTATAAGCACTTCCACAACATTCACTAAGGAGTAATAGAAACACTTCCAATAAAAGGGATTCCATGATGACTTTAAGCACCTTTAGTTTTAAGTAAGGCATCTGTCAATATGAATCATTAAACTTGTGAATAACTAACATCGTGCCACCACTAAATTCTATAAAATGTTTCTAAATCCTCAACGCAACACTTGGATTTCAGAGGGACCCCAAAAATGTGAAACATATCTTTGATGTTAAGAGCATGTTTGGCTAGTCTAATGTTTGCTTATAAGTTTTAAAATAAATATCTTTTATCCACTAAGATTCATTAAGATGAAAAATATGAAGAAGGATACAATAGTCACTTAAATGCCTGAATGTTATGTACCAAAAAAATTGCAATTCCTAACGAAATAGGTAACAAAGCTACTTTGCTTCCCTCTGCAACTCAATCACCACCCCCAAGTTAAACTGGTGCTTCTTTTTGCACCAGAAGATTATAAATGTGTAAGAAATAAATTGACACTCCCAAAAATTTCAATAAATATTCTGAAATAATCTAAAAGATTGTATCTTTGGAAAGTACATATCGATATTGAATTTCAACTTTTCAACTAGTCACGCTGACTTACCTAAATTAAGAAGGGAAAAAATAGAAAAGTAATTAACAGAAAACTAGTATGATTTTTAATCAGTACAAAACATGGCTGCATTCATGCACAATACAAAGGGCAGTCTTTGGACTCTTCAATTTGATGTACAAGCCGCAACTAAGCTGTTGGCTAATTTATAAATCCATGTATAGATTCCAAAACTAAAGGAGATTGGCATTGATAATACCATGACGAAGGAGCATACGCATGAATCGGCAGGACCACCTCATACTATGAATCTTCTTCAAATAAAACTTTCTCGAAGTCAATCTATACAATGGTCCCAAATGCAACACTTGACTAAGACTAGTGTTTTTTGCAAAGTTCCAAATCCAGGTCGATTTCACAGTACAGTCCTCCACATGTCAAGGACCCTTTTGCAGATGAATTCAAAGAATTCCGAAAAGTGAAAATATTCAAGGACTAATTAACTATCATAGGAACATGAGAATAGATCTGTTTGCTAAATAGAGGGGGGTCTGACTACTTGACTTGTATGCTTGTTGATATATTTACATCCATTATTTCTTTCATGTCTTGCTTGGTATCAGAGGCCTGCAGCTCCTGTAATTAACTCAGTAGTGTGATGACAAGCCATAATGCCATGGTTCATAAATTCAATAAATTCTCGAATTTATCAGATGGGACGTCTTCTTGAAGCATAATTGCTCGTAAGTCTCTTAGCCCACTGACTTTGATTTGGTAACCAAGATATTGGACATCCACACAAGGCACACCATCTTAAATACAGAAGGGCGGTGGCAAGATTCTCCTTGTACTCTTTAAAAGCCTCGAGTATTTGTAATTCAGCTTCCTTGTCTTCGGCAAATATTAGATTCTCGTATTCTATTCTATTTTCTTGAAGAATGTTATCTTCAGAAATCATTCTCATACTTAGAACCTGCAATGCTTCCATTGCAGTACTATGGAAGCCATTGTCTACATATGCAGAGAAAACACAACTGATGGTTGATGCATCAGGCTGAATCTTCTCTTGATGCATCTGCTCAACCATAAGCTCAATCACGTCGATTCTTCCCTGAAAAATCAATTGACAGGTGCAGAAAGTTTAGCAAGTCAAATGTACGACGAAAAAAGGAAATGCATACTTCTAATATTTAAAGGAAAACTCAACCAATTTATCCCAAGTTCAGATGATGTCCATCTCATGCATGCAATTTATAGAACTTCACGGAGTGTAGGCTTTCCTCGTCAATTCCTCTAATTTAATTGGACAGAAGTAACAGCAAAAAATTAATGCAAAAACTAGAAAACCAACTTAAAGCTTTCTTTAGAGAGAGGGGAAAAATAATGTTGAATACTTAAAGTGCTCAGGTACTAAACTATACCGTAGATTGTCTTTTATCATTCAATTTGAAAATGCAAGGGAATTGAAAAATTTTGTATACAAAAATAACAATAGGAGACTCTTTTTGCGTAGCTACGCCTATTTTCATTCTTTAGGTGCCATTTTATCAATTTGAATGTAAAACCAATTGTACCGTTTTCAAAAATAAGGTCAAGCATAGCAGATGATCTCTGCTTTCTTTTTAAATAATGATTGGAAATGCGCAGGCTGATGCACTCTGTTAATTACCTTCTCACTTGCTACTTGAATAATAGTGTTATATAGCAATACATCTGGTAGCATCCCTTCCGAGGTCCCTTGATCAAGGAGTTCAAGTGCTTCATCAAAGTTGTCAAATTCCAACAAGATCTGGCACAAAGAAATGTCTGAGAAAATTGATATTTTAAACGATATTTGGTGTCATTTACTAGCACGCTATTTTAGTCACCATGTACCCAACAACTGAATCCATAATTAAAACTAAAGGATAAGAAGAAGAGTAAAGTGTGCCAGAAAATTTCCCTCAAATTATTAGAGGAATGAACAGACTTTGGACTGCTTCACCACTTCTGCCAATGATTAGCTTAACTTATAGAAGTCGTAGATGATTCAAAAATGAACCAGAAAGTAAAAGCATTAAATATTTTCCTCTCTCTGAGAAGATTTCAAGGAAACAGTCTCAAAAAATTTCTAACTATTCATCTTCATACTTCCATTCCAACACAATAATCTAATATCGACTTCAATTTTTGTTGCTTATCCATTTTTCTGTTTTTTGTAAGCTGTTGCAGTGTGTGGGAGAACTAACCTCCTAATTCAGAAACCTGTTCAAATCTGCTCCACAATGGTTGGATTGGGCAGGCTAATATTGATAAGTTAGCCTTATCTAGTGAACCGAAAAATGTTTATTCGTCGAGTGAGTTGGAAATGTGTTGAAATCAAGACACAATCAGATTGTTTCACTTTTTTCCCCTGTAGGACACTATGTTTTTCCCTAGAACAATCATGGCTATTAATGAACTAGTTATTTGATACATCTTTCGAACCATGTGAGGAAAGGTCAATTTTCTTATTTACATGTCAAGAGACTATAACTAAGGCACACTTTCCTTGGAAGCTTCCCTTAAAGGTGACAAAGATTTTGCTAGGACCAACCCACCTCCAGGAAGATGATTGAAAATGTGAATCAACCTCTTGGAGCTAGAGATTGCTCCTAGATATCTTATAATTTAGAAAATTGCTCTCTTGAAAATCCTAAATCATGCTCCAGATATCTGAAATAAATGAAAGCGGTGTTGATGGTTGAATATCATAATGCCAGACACGGGTAGAGATCATTCAAAGCAGTATCTAAGGTTGCAAACATAGCTTTTGTATGCTCAGACAAACATACGAATACATGTGCACACGCACAAACAGAGAGAATAAAGGAGGCTAA